TGTCGCATCCAACTAAATACGTATCTGCTCAAGTTATTTCGTTGGAGGTCTCTTTGCAACACTACGCCCGCCTCTGTCGCCTAGCAACGAGTCCGCGTAATGCCAAAATTTAAAAGCCGGCGAACATTCCATTCGCCTCAAATGCTAATAAGCCATACATAGAAAGAAAAGAGATGGGGGAAAAAATACTCCCTCCGGATAAATTAAAAATGTTTTTCTTCCCGAAGCTCTACGTTCTAACGCTTTATTTTTTCACGCAGGGAAGAAATGCATTCTTGTTTCTTTAACTTTTCATGTAATGAGTAAAAATATAGTAGCAACTTGAGGTATGGGGTTTTACGCATATTACACCAAGCAAGATAGAAGTTCAAAGAAAAATTTAAAATAATATGATGTAGCATGCATTTATAATTCACAAAAAAGGAGCTGTTGCATATTTTTTGTTCGTAAGAATTGTTCTGTTTTTATGACTAAAAGAATATATCTGAGATACATAAAGATTTCTGAATTTTAGTTTTCCTTTTCTAAATTTTCATTGCATGCGAAGTATTTGCACGTGAATAACTAAAACATGCTCATATCTCAGGAATTATTTGATTTTATTAAATATAAAATTATTTTATTTTTTAAAAATGTATTTAAAATAATAATAATACAAAAATATCAGTATATAAAGGCAAAATATACTGAAATATATAAAAAATGAGTTGCAGGTTAAATAAAGTTAATATACATATATAAAAGACATAATAAAAGCGTGGAAAAGACGGAGCACTGTTGATGCGTAGTTATTCGATATTGAAGAGGAAGTATTCTGATTGCGTCGTAAGCTACTGTGTTGACTTCGTAGATAAAACTTAACAGTCGAGGCGATTTTAATTCCGTTTTTATTTCCAATTGACATTATGTGCCCACAGATCACTTGGCATCCTAATCGTGCCTGTTCAAGAACATTTACATTATTGATATTATTGCAATAGGAAGCAAAGCACAGCACAGACAGACGCTGAAATGCGTAGTTATGAAAGATAGAAGCACGCGTGGAGAAAAGTTTTGGTTTACAATGGTAGTTTCAGTTCCCAATTATTATGTCATCAGAGCTGCACAGGCCTAGAATGATCTAGAAATGACGCAATCCAGAGAAGTTATTGCGATTTTTAGAATAGAGAGGGAGCATTAATGTTTTACCGTTAGTTTAAATTATAATTTTGATTCACATATTTTTTATCGTAGATGTATATTTATATATAAAGGAAGAGGGGATTGGCAATGCATACGTTACTTGATGTTTCATCTTTATGATTAGATTTATTTTTGGGGCAGGCGTTGGTGTACAGAAGACCTACAGCTAGAAATTTAGCACTCAATATATTTTAATATTGTAGTATTAAGAAGCATTTTATTAATGGCATAATTTCTTATTGTAGGATTCTCCACTGTATACTTCTAAGTTACAGATGAATGTGAAGAATCTTAAGAACTAGTAAGCGAATAATCGCCTGAGTTCGTAAGGCAGAAAACAACAAGTGAGAAGGGTGAAAAAACCCTTTATTATTCCAACTAAAGTTTAAGAAAACTCCGTCTTGGAGTTGTACAATGAAGCCGACACTCGAGCTTCAACTTAAGAAACTAAGAATTAAACTAAACTAATCTTAACTAAAGAGATATAGCCGAAGCTATCAAGATTCTAGCGGAGTTGGCCCCTTAACGCTCATTGAATGCGAAGCTATGAAGGGCCTAAAGTACGGCCGCGCGTAATAATAGCTTACCAGAGAGTAGCCTAAAAAGGCGGACGCGTGCTAGCCAGAATATCTGGTATCTCTCTCCCTAAGAAAGTAGAACTTCGCGGTTAAATACCGCTCTTCCTCATTATATATTCAGACGTGATTCTAAAACTAACGTTCTGGCCGGAAGTGGTAAGTTGAAATTAAGAAGCGATAGGAAAGGAAGTTTAACTCAAAATTTAACTGTTAATAAAATTAACGTAATACTTACATAATCTTTATTGTTGTTGTTATTTATCCTAACTGGTTAGCCATTAAGCTAGACCAGATCCATGAGTCCAAGATCCGTCAATAAATCCAAAACGGAAGTACGTCTTTTCTATAGGTCCTCTTTTACAAGTTCCAAATAGGTGAGAAAATGTTCAGGAATGAAATGATCAGTATTACATTTTCTACAGATCGGGTAGATCTTATTTCCTCGGTCAAATTTAAGGCATTTCAGATGTCTGCTTAGGAGCCTCAGAGTCTGGTGTTGAGTCCGATTACCCCAAAAACAATAGCACCTCCCGCATTTCAGGTGTCTGCTTAGAAGCCTCGTCAAGTAGTCTGCTGCTAAACATTCATTATTTTTAGAACTCTTTTAGAATTCCGCACACTGATGGTTTTAGAAAGACTGCGTTTAGAATTTGTCGATATTTGTGAAAATCCCATGAAATAGCGATTTTGGATTGTCAACAAAAGAATCCAAACATGACATTTTTATTTATTTCTACTTTAGTAAATAAAGTATAGTAATGGCTAAAAACTTCGGGTATTATATTTCAACGAAAATACCCATTTAACTGCTCTCGAATCTATTTAGACATTTTTTTTTTTTTATGACCTCTGTATGTACGGACAGAATGAAGGACTCGTTTTTTTTCCTGAACGGATTGTAAAATGGATATAAAAGGGATTCAAAATAGATGTTTTCTTGACGTCTGTACGTACGTACGTATTTATCTCGCATAACTCAAAAAGATTAGTGTAGAACACTGAAATTTTGCATATGGGAAATGTTATAGCATCTAGTTGTGTAGCTCTCTTTTTTGTTGCAGTCGGCTGCACCAAACAATCATAAATATATAAATGTAAATATACGAATAAAATTTAACTTCAGTTTTGTGCACCGAAAATTTTATCTTCCTGACCGCTGGCCAGCTTGTTTTTTTTTTTTTTTTTTTTTTTTTTTTTTTTTTTTTTTTCGTATAGAAATTTTTAATTTTAATTTCAAAAATCATTTTTTAAAACTGTTTTTAACTGTATTTGTTATTTTAGGATTTTCTACATTTTACAATTTTTAACAAAGTTGTTTTGAGTTTTTATGTATTTTCGCCTTACTGCGAAATGAGAACTGAATTGATTGAATAAAAAAATGTATCTCTAATGAAATTGGAGGAAAAATATTTAAATGAAGTGCAGCAAAAAATGTGTATAATTTAATAGGCCGTACAAGAAAGTCATATAGTAATGTGTCACCAAATATTTTGAGATTAGTCATTTGAAACAGACATGCGTTCTCTGATTCTACAAGAGCTTTGATATTAACATGAATGGCAGATAAAGTGAGAATTTAGAGATGAAATATGCTAGCTAAAAGTTCTGAATGATCTGTACTGATGACATAGCCAGAACATAACTTTTTTAGATTTCAGAGGATGATTATTCACTTTATTTATGAGCACGTCATACTGACTTGTATTAAGATTATTCGCAAAATTTTCGATAAAAATTGAGCTATTGCGAAATACTATCCGTTAATGAACTTGTCTTCAGTGTTCTGGAATGAAATTTGCTAAGCAATATTTCAAATTACCCCTGCAGGTATAAGCGTTCATTTCGAAGTTCCACTATAAAACATTTACATCTGAGCCAAATTAGTATGTTGATACGAATGTCATGACCACATTTAGATGGCTACCGATCTGTTGATGACATCGTGTTCCGGAAAGAGAGTTTAGAAGGTACAACACAGATGGATCTTCTAAAAAATTTAGTAATATATAAGCTGTCACAGACTTATAAATGAGAGCCACTAAGAAAAGAATGCATTTCCGGCGATAGATTTAGAGGTACACCAGCGATGCGAAAAGATTGGGCATTGTTTCAGATTTGGGAAAAAGATTGGGGTTTGTAGATTCACTAAATTAGAGGTTATTTTTATGGATTCTTCGCTTCGACAGGCAGCAGTAGTTGTCTTTATGAAAACAAGTCCAAGAATATACGACACAATATGCAATGCAGACGACATTAATTACATATATATATATATGCACCAGAAGGAAGTTCCGTAATTTATTACATTCTGTTTTGCAAATTTTGTCTTTTCAAAAAATCAAAAATTAATTAAATTCATCCAGAAAGGATTCAGAAATGCGGTAAATTATGATAATTACCCACCGGTCCATGATGAAGAAGTACAAATTATATTAGACTTTCTGTCTGTTTCTTTTTCCATATCTCAGCTATTTGAAAATGGGTTTTATTGTTCCTTTTCTTGTTTTTCTTCTTTTCTGAGACGGCATTTTTAAAGAGGGAGAACATGCTGTTTTTGAAATAAAAGGTATATCGTAAGCCACGTACAAATCTGTAAATAGTAAAAGAAGTTCCATAAAATATAGTAGTCATAACAAAGGAATAGGGGACAAATTTTAGCAATTGTGACTTAAATAATTAATCTTGATGGTCAATGATTGATGACTGTGTTAAGATGCCATATAGCTCGAAAAACTGAAGACTTTTAAATAAAATTTCTTCAGTTATTGTCGAAACCTAAGGAGAGAATAATATATTGTTCAGAAAGCAGAACAAAATAATATATTTAAAATATTGAGAAGGTAATATTAAAAATGTTAAAATATGAATTGCTTCCGTTGGAGTTATTTTCAAGCCACCCAAAAAAAAAAAAAAAAAAAAAAACTACTGATTATAGATTATCTTAGAATTATTACTTGCTTTTAAAACTGCTAACGAAAAAAATTACAAAATCAATTTAAAATTATTGTAAGTATTTTAATTTTAATTGTTAGAGAAAAGATATTCGGATACGTTTTCTAGAAAGTTCTTATTTTTGCAATATGCTTTTGCATTTACTCGAATAATAAGCAAAATACCATATTTACATGAAAATAAGACATGTTCAAATATAACACACACATTTTTATAATAAATTTTAAGATACTAATATATAATTAGGAAACATTAATGATTATCGATTTATTATTACCTATTTGTTTTCAGGTACATCAGTAACTAACATGGCGGATGAGGTCTAACTTGGAATCGCTGAGCTCTAGACGTGTTTAGCGCAACTAGAGCTAGCTGTGCTATATATGGTAATTACCTGTTCGGTTTATTTAGTATTTAAATAGAATAATTTTTCTATATATTAGTAGCATGATAATTAATATCTTCCCGTCATTATGCAGTTTCATTTACTAAAATACCCTATTAAATTAAGATGAAAAAATAGCAAAAGTACATTGGTTTTATTTTTGAATATTTAGAATGATACGAATTTTTCTCTGTTTAATATGACAGAAATGCAATTATTCACATTACACAATAAAAATATTTCTAGAAGCCATAATATTTAAATTCAACATTTCAGTATCTTTTACAGAAAAACTGAAATTTCCTTTAAATCATCATGTACGGAAAAATTTGAATTAAAAAAAAATGAGAGTGCATATGTTTTAACACAATAAAAAAGTAGTGAGAAATTCTTAAATTAACAGTGAATATAGAAATATCACTTATCAGTGTAGGCTGATTTAAAAAATGTAATTAAAATTTCGAATCTGAAAATTACAATGTAATAAAATAAAAATTAAACTGTCATATTAGAACTAAAGCAAACAATTATTATTAACTTCTGAATTTATTCCATTTTAACCTTTATTAAATGATATTTTTATAAGATTATAACGTCATTCCTCATTTATTTTAATAATTTTTTAATGTATGAACCGAAAATGGCAGCCTATTGCCCTGAACAATCGTAGTTTTTAATTGAATTCTGCAGTCACATGACTGCATATTATATTCTTAATTTGATTTTTTACGTATATTCTTTCGTAGAAAATTTCAATTCATACTGTAACATTAGACAAAAACAGTTGTGAAATTTTCATTAAAAACAGAATTTTAGTAATAGAAATAGTACTCCTTTTTATTCGAGGTGAATTCTTTTCGTCCATTTCGTCGTATTGATGAAAAATTTCAATTTGTCCAGAATTATTTTTGTGAATCGAAACACCATATCGATAAAGAATTTCAATTTCAATTTTTTAATCCAGGTAGAATTTCGATACTTGATTCGAAAAGAAAATTTAATCAGTACAAAATGTATATCTCAAATCTATTTCATCAAAAGGCGTTTTTAAAATACTACAGTCTCTGATGCCATTTATTAAGAATGAGAATTTAATGCCAATGAGAACTGCGATATGAAATACGTCAGCTAGGCGATCGAAGAGAAGCTTTAAACCGGTTCGTACCGGAATTTCATAAGCAAAATTCTCGTTCCCTTTGAGAAGCCCCACTAGCAGCTTTAAATGCCTAATCCTCACTGTAAAAACAGCATAACAATTTCCATATTTGTAAGCTGTTTCTCATCATGCATTCGATGACGTAGAGACGAAAGCGGATTGTGATTGGCTGGTTCTAGCTGCGCCTCGTAGTAATCAAATATTTTATTTTTACGTTTGAGAGAAGGAAAACAAAGCGCTTTTCAAGGATAGCGGTTATTTTGTGGATCACAAGACGTTAAGAGGATTCTGTTATTTTGTCGATTTCTTTGAACTTTATGATAAAATCTTGTGTTTAACCTTGAGGTTGATGCGCGCGTGTCGTCTAAGTTTGGCAGAAGCATTCAAATTAATTACTAATTAAATTCCACAAGGATAAAACGTACGATAAATTATTATACTTCGCTTGCACAAAGCATAAAAGCATTTATTTGGGGAAAATTGTTCTTATTTATATTCATCTTTTGAATAACTATAAAAACCAAGAAATACAAATTCCAAGGAGTATGAAATACAAGGAATTATTAAAATGCATTGACGGGTTTATATTTCTCATAAATGTATCATTTAGTAATATAATTTATACGAAATTTAAAATTTGCTGAAATTCGACTTCATATTGAAGATGATTCTATAAGAAAATTTTATGTATTTTTGAGAAAGACTAACGTGAAATTCTTTTTCTTCGAGAAACAAAAATGCGGAATGATTTTGGTAGAAAGCAGGTATTTTTCCCTTGAAGAAGGTCTTGAGTCTATATGTAATAAAAGTAACATTTTTGCTTAATTTTTATGTGATACAGTTTGTACAGTATTATATGTTTTATATTGTGTAGACAATTCTTTTTTTAACTTTCAAATTTCATTGAAGATGCCAGACTTGCATTTCCTCCTTAGCTCCCAAATGGTGACTCTCGTAGGCAGCAAAAAGTGGATTTTACGCCTCTTCTGTTTCTTGCAGCTTTTCAAGAAATTTAAATTTCTTGCTATCATCTGTCGTAAAGACTTCACCATGTAAGTCTTTTATTTTCTTTGAATACTTAAATCCTACCGACAGCGCGTATATATTTATGAGATAATCGCTAACTGAATTTTTAGCAGGAGTGATACAGGGTGATCCAAAAGTCTCGCTCAACAAACTTGTGGAAATGTGGAAATTCCGGAATGGATATCAATGGCAAATTTTTTTACACATAACAAATCATGTTAGAGACAAACAAATCGCTCTCGAAGTTATCACGAATTGCTTTAATCAAGAGATAAACGCTTAAACGAGCCCTCACACAACTTTGTTCTCCCTCAGTATATCAATATCAACTGATGAGCAATATTCAAATTAGCCTAAATAAACAGAGGTTAATTACAAGAAGAATAGGAATAGTGATTCCATCAATAAAGAAGAGAATGGAAATATTAAGTAGGTAAGATTATTTTGAGAGGTTTTTTTTTTTTTTTTTTTAGCTCAAAGGGACATTAGACCCAAAGGGCTATAGTCTCAAAATTGCATTTTGCGTCGTTTCACTTTCTGCATTGATTCACTTTTCAGACTGTTGACACCAAATATTATCGCCATATATTGCATGAATGTTTCTCGCATTGTGAAAAAAACAACGGTACCTAGAGCCATCAAATTTTGAATGACATAGTCCTCCAGCCGTACATGGGTACTTGGAAGCCCGAATTTTGCATTTCGAAATTGTTTTATTATTTATTTCAAATTTTGTAAAACTTTAAATAATTTTTTTAACAAACTTCAACGATTTCAAAGCGAGCAATGGCAACACTGTAGGGGGAAAAAAAAAATTATCTCCAGCGCGCGATTGTATATTGGGAATTCTAAAGATGGGCTGTTTTGTTGTTTTTAAATATTTTGTGATATTACTGTTGAATTGAATTTTATTCAGTTTAAGTGCGAAGAACATAGTATTTAATAAATAAAGGTAACACCCAAAATGCTAAAAAAAAACGCCCACTTGGGCGTAATATAAAATCTGAAATCTTTAAGATTTTCTTTTTATTTCCATATTTTTAGCTCCTAGCAAATTAATCTTAATTTGCACCCACATTACTCCTTTCTAAACATTTTCTGTAGATTTGTTAGAGAATAGGAATAGTGATCCCATCAATAAAGATGGGATTCCAGTTTTCATCTTGCAATTCCGATTCTTTGAATCTTTTAAGAAATTTCCTAACATTTGTAGAGAAAAACTCGCCAAAATATTTTATTATCTTTAAATAAGTTAAACGCTTCCAATAGTGGGGTAATGTCCGCGAGATAACTGCAAATATAATTCCTTCCAAAAAATCCTATACAGGGTGATTCAAACGTCGCACACATCGAACTTTCAAAAATTACGGAAATTACAATATGAATATCAATAGCAAACTGTTTCAGTGGATCATACCCCTATACTGTTGCAGGATATATCATATTTGTTTGCGCATTTCCGCCTTTTTGTATTAATTTTTATCGAAAGGGGAAAACTGTGCGACTAATTCAGTATTCCGAGGATGCAGTTACAGAAAGAGCATAACTAATGAAAAGTACGCCCGGCTAATCTACCGGTAATTATCACAATATTATCTATTTGAAGAAACCTACATACGAATTAGAATACATATTATATATGTAATACAATGCATTCCATATATACATTGTGACTTATCTCATTTGTCTGACGGTAACATCAGAACAAGCCCACGAAAGGTGTCCGCCGCAAACATCGCGGACGAACACGCCGCGGATAAAACAACGCAAGTCGATAAGATAGTGGTACAAAACATCGTGCGAGAAAAGAAAGCAAAGAGAAAACCATCGCAGTTCCAAAATATCGTGGTCCGAAATAAAGCAGTTCAAAAACTTCGCAGTTTAAAAACATCATCGTCAAAAATATCGTGGTGAAAATTAAAGTACGCACAAATCATCGTATGACGATAACATCGCACACATGCGTTTTCAGGTTTTGAAAGTTGTAAATGCTTGTTCGTATAATGATTTGGCAGTGCAAGAAGAAAAGAGGAATTCTTTTACTTCTATATTTTATATTTTTGAATGAAATAATAAATTTTTGCTGAAAAAATAAGAAGGAAACTTCAGTATTTAAAAATTGAAATTGAGTAGAAAATTAATGCAACATATAGAGCTTAATATAATTTTAGTTAATTAACAAAGGTTATTAATAAATTAACGCTTTTTAATAAAGTTTTACTGAAACTTTTTTATGAAAAATACAGTCTAAAAATGCTTAGATAAAGGAAAATAAATAACTGCATGATGTTTAAAACTCCTCTTTAAAAATTGCTTAGTTAATAATCAAATTATTTTCTTTCGCATTTGTTAATTTGATATTGTTTTAGGGAAATTATATATTGTTTTGTATCCGTTTATTCTTAAATTGTTGTTAGCATTTTCATGAATAGCATGCAATCAATTTTTTGGATGTCGATTTGTTAGTTATGACGAAAGTCAGTTACATAATATGTCACTATGCGATCTGAAAGACACATGTGTGCGATGTTATGTGTGTTGTGTAGACACATGTGTGTTGTGTGTGCCTAAGAGAAAGAATTTTTATGACTGAGCATTTACTTCGCAAAGCATAAATTTGATTGCGGTGCCATATTTCTCACACTCCTCGTTGATGATCGCAACATTTTATTCCCGACTTCGTATATTTTATCCTAAGTTAAGAGCATAAACTGCAACTAGAATTTTAAACGGTATATTAGTTTTAACGGTAGAATAATCTTAAGGCATCCATTGAAATAATCTGTTATTTGTTCCTATTTTGGAATTTTCATTTTGAAAGTCTGATAAGAGCAACTTTTGGTCACCTTACATTATCTAAAAGGATTTCAGCATTAGTATTATCGTTACTTTGCTGATTTCGAGAATCATTTAAGAACTAGGAATTTTAAAATTGTAGCAGTTTGTCTTGCAGTTTATTACTTAAAATTGTAGCAGTTGTATGTGAAATGACTGAATTTTTCATTCGAAAATTTAGGACAGCCCTTATAGTTCGCGTGGCATCCTCTTCAGGATGGTAGCCTCTTCAGTTGCAGCTTTTTCCTTCTTCTAATAGGAAATATGAATAATTTTTATACTAGGCATTTCTGCCAGTTTGGCACATATACTCGTAGCTTAAAAGCAGCTGGAAAAGGTAACAAAATTTACACGTTTTTGTTGGAAACTTAGGCGCATTCTTTTAATAATGTCTAACCAGTGGCCGAGGAATTAACACCGCTGAATACTGATAGTTCGACCTGGGTTCGAACCCAGATGAATGGGCTGGCTATCTAGATGGTTTTCTTGCTTTTCTTGATGTGTAACTTAAATAGGAAGTCTTTCAAGAAGGTGTCCCTTCCTTGGACAGGTAACCTTCGTGTGCTATACCATATTCAAATAATCCAGCTTAACCTATTTCTAAGGATGTCACCTGCCTTTGCATTTTCTGCTTCATAATTTAATCGAGTTACTTCTTAGAAATTATGATTTATGCAAAATCTAATATTATATGCTACTAAATACTACTTGGCAGAAATTGCAATTTGTATAAAATTTGCTAATTATGCATTAGAAATATATAAAAAGTTTCTAAAAAAATTTAATTTAAGTATTTAGCGACGTTTTTCCAAAAGTTCCCAAACTACTTTGAAAGCTCTCACTTACAATTTTATTCTTAGTAATCTCCCTCCCTTTTTTTTTTTTTTTTTTTTTTTCTTTTCCCCGTCTGTGCTTGGCTACTACTAAGGCCGGAAGTGGTGGCCACTTTACTGTGGAAGTATCTAACAGGTGGGCCACCGTTACCTCCTATGAAAGGACGGATAATTACAGCCATGCCTCCTACGGGATTCAAACCCGGGCCCTTCGGTATTGCAGTAGGCTTCCCTAACGACTTTTCCGTTATTAATCTTAATAAGGCGTAATGAGAAACGAACAGAAGAAAAAGCATTTTTTCTCAAAGTGGTATCTCTGTTAACTTCTGTAAGCTCTTCAAAAAACAAAAGATTAGGCTATGACAGAAGGCTTGAAACTATTAATCAAAGCTAAGTAGCCGACGAAATAAAAAATGACACATACCACTCCTTATGCCTAGAAATGTCCTTCTGAAAAATCTTCCTTTTTAAACTCTACAGATACGCGGATATGCTTTCAAATATCTCATCTATCCTCTTAAAATAGGGTCATGTAGGTCTCTCCCTCTATTCAAGTAAGAAGGGAAAAAGATCGTAAATTTTACCAGCAATTTAGGTTACTGGCGAAGAGAAAAATGGGAGATTTGGTGTGCGATCTATAATAATCAAATTGACTTCCTCCGATTCTCTTTTGATAAAGTTGGTACTAAAACCTGACGAAGGGAATTTTTGCTTAACCTACAATTCTTTCAAAAGGAATATTAACATTCGTAACCTAGATGTTTGGAACTGAATGTATGGAACTAAATGTGGTTGAATGAACAAATGACCCTTGAACATGAGGGGTTTGAACTGCGTGGCTCCACAGATCCGCTGATTCCTCCCTTCCCTGTCCAAATAAGTATACTGGAAACGTTTTGAAGACTTTGGTCAGATTGAAAATCGTGAAAATAAACGACGTAGCCTTGAAATAGGGGGGGGGGAAATAGGGGGGGGGAATAGGTATGCCTTGTGCGTGAAATATACGTGTATGTGCATACTAATTAGGGGCACCAGACGTCTGGATCATCCCGGATAGTCCTAGATTTATAATCGCGTTCGGAATTTAAAAAATGGCTGGTATTTTTAAATGAAATTGATTATACATCTGTTTAATCAGTTTCCCCGTTCAAAACATCAATTATAGTGCGAAAAAGATCTTTTCTGTAATCAAAGTTATTTGGCTTTTATGAAGAAGTCGATTACAGATGTCAAAATTTAAACTTGAAAAAGAATTGCAATTATTCATGCAGTGATTTTTATGAACATACTAAATCCAACGAAGAATTTCTGAAGAAAATATTAGCTAATGAACAATATGCAACAGTGGAAGAAAAACA